TCGGTTTAAGAAATTAAGGATTTGTTGAGTCAATTTTATTTTTATGATGATGATTTTCTTGGTAATAAAATTTGAAAATATTAAGGCTGACCTAAATGTAATATTGTAATCAAACATAGATGTTAAAGAATAATCGAATATGAAGCGTGAACAGGAAAGTAACTTTATTTTGATTTTCTTTTGAATTAATGTATTATATAGTTACTAATGTTTGTTCTTTTTTTTTTTTTGAGGAAAAGCAGGGTCTATTTTCGGTAATAAGAAAGTAACTTTAATTTGATTTATTGATTTGAAAATAATATGTGGTTACTAATGTTTTTTTTTCTTTTTCAAAGAAGGTCTTTTTATATTTTTTTTCCCAAATTATGATGTGGAATAGATTGCCATATTGGCTGTTCCGTATTTTTATTTTTCTGAACAAGAAATATAGGATGGATTGCCGAACCGGCCATCTTGCATTTATTTTACTGCTCTTAAATGATGAAATTATATTCTGATAAGAGTTTTTTTATGTATTTTATTTTTATTTTTTTTATTTTTATTTTGAATATTTTGTATTTAATCTTTATTCTTATATTTAACCTTTGTTTATTAATATTTTTCTTTCTATATTTTTTCTAAACCGTGATGTGAAATGAATTGCCATATTGGCCGCTCCATCTTTTATTTGGCCGCCTTACATTTATTACTACTTCTCATTTTTATGTATTTTGATTTTTTTTTCTTTTTCGATGAAGTCTTTTTCCTAGACCGTGTACCGTATTTTTATTTTTCTGAACAAGAAATGTAGAATGGATTGCCGAACCAGCCATCTTGCATTTATTATTACTGCTCTTAAATAATGAAATTATATTCTAATGAGAGTTTTTTTTTATTTTTATTTTGAAAATTTTGTATTTAAATATTAATTCTTGTATCAAATTCTTTAAAAAATTATATTTTATTTGCTCGCAAAAATAAGATTTCAATTTACTCTTAGAGGCAACGAATTATTTTAATTGAATTTCGTGAATAACTATCTTCTATTTTGCATTACTAAAATGAAATATGCGTATTTGTGCAATCGATAAATAATAAAGAACTTTAATTATTTTTATTAATTGGATTGTATTTTGGTGCTGCTAAAATAGCGCAGATACTTATTGTAAATTTTAAATTAAAAATTGTTAAGGTAGGTTAATGATACCTAATACTGTATATGGAAGTGAGTCAACAAATTGTTAAAATCTAGAGGTATTACTCGGGTCTCATCTCTATTATGGCTAAATTACATTTTATTTCACAATACAGTGTAAATCGATTGGTATAATTTTAATACAGAACGTAACTAAATGATAATATTACTCATCACGTGCTCAAACATGATTGGCTAGCAATCATCTATTATTACATGACCAATTTAATTGGCTGACTTGTTTGACTCGAGTTATTACTCGGGTCAATTTCTGATCCGAATTCGCATAATTTCTGACCCGAGTAAGACTTCTAGTAAAATCATAATTTTGAGAAAAACACACTTAGATAAACAACATAAAATCGAGAGATGTGAACTATAATTTACAATTACAAACTGTAGTTAACTATAGTTTTAAAATAAACAGTTTATTTATATTAATTGTAAATTATAGTTCGCATCTTGTAAAATGTGATGTGATCAGTTATTTTATTAAATACTTTAATAGTAGAATCGTTGGATAACCAGAGGATTTAATAGAAAACGAATAATTATTTGGTTCTAATTCTATATTTTACAAAAAGTTTAAGTCAGACTTTAAAAATTCGAGATAGACGTATAGGTTCAAATAGAAACAAAATTTAAAATGACCTAATAGAAGTATTTCATGATACTTTATTTCAAGTAAATTTGGCTTATTTTTTATTTAATAACTGAATGAAATTTCATGAACATAATTGGGTATAATTGGACAGGAGCAATTAAATTCAACAATTACAGACTTCTGTAAAGCTCCATCAGATTTAATAAAAATTAACGAAAAATTTAAAGTTTTTATGATAAAAAAAAATAAAAACAGATGTGATTTGAAAGCAGATTTCAAAATTCAAATATTTCTGCATCATAGATATCCTTTTCATCTCTGTTTTTAACTTCAAAATTATTATTTCTATTAATAAATTTGGTGCATTCTCCTTCTTCGTCCTGGATGGTTTCATTTTCTCCATCTTCAATAAAAGAAAATGTGCGATATAGTTGAGGAGTTTCTTCGATTTCTGTTTCATCCTGATTAAGTTCAACAAATTTATTCAGATTATTTGATGCATTAACGGCATCATTAAAACTCAAATAACGTATTCGAGTATCAATTTCATTTAGTCGTAGAAAATTATTAACTCTATTAAAATCTTTAAGGAAAAATATAATTAGGTAATTTTAGAATGAGAATTAAAAGAAAAAACAAAAAACAAAATTACCAATACTATTTTCTTGACAGTAAGAGGAGATACTTTGAATAATTTGACGATATTTATATATCTCATTTATTTGTTGTTGAATCGTACTTTCTTCATTATTGCTATATACTCTAGCTGAATGTGAAATAACCATTTTGAAGGCTTTATTTTCCCTCTTTAAAGTTTTGTTTTCTTTTATTAAATCGTGATTTTCTTTTTTTAGTAAAGTTATTTTGGTTAGAAAATTGGTATCCTTATCATCTAATATTTTGATCCTTCCTTTTAATCTTATAATTTTAGTAATTATTAATTGTATTTAAAATTTTAAAGCGTCAAGAAGTTGGTCATGATTTTTGTATTCTTCGTCTGTCATTTCTTTATTGTAAAGCCGACGTTTATAATAATTTCTGGTACTTTCAAAATACTTAAAGAATGCATTTTTAATCTAATCTGGGGTTGATTTAGATGAATTAAAAGTATTAATTAAATGTTTAATATTTGAGTTTTTTTAAGTCATTTTTTTTTTTTTAGATTCTAAAAAATTAAATCACATTATATATCAAATATTTGTATGAAACTGTTATTTGT